TCACAATTTATTAAAATTTAGTTTATTTAATATTTCGGAAACATTTGCTACTTATGTTGAGTTTAAATATATTATTATAAAAATATTATGGACATTGTATTCAAAAAACATAGTAGTATTTTAAAAAGACCTTTGAGTACAATAAAAATGTTTTTACGTGAATTTATATACAAATCAAATATAAAGTCATTAATTTTTAGTTTTATTATATAATTATGGTATGAATTATAATAACTAATGTTTCGCAATATTAAAAATAAATAAAACCCAAAATATTATACTGGTATATTAAATGTATCTAAGTTAATTTTGAATATAACTTTAATTCAACGCTATCTATTAATTTTAAACTTTTAAATGAGAATTAAGTATTTTACATATTATATCATTCTTACCTTTAACCAATTTTATAATAGATACACTTCTACAAACGTTTTATTTATTTTTGGTAAAAAGTTAGAGTATTTATTAAATCTCTTAAGAGATTTCGCTAATCAGAGAGTAGCTTAATACAAATATTTGTTTTGTTTTATAGAATTTACAAAATATTTTGTACTATTTTTTGCTTCAATTTCGACAACAGAATCGAAATCACGTCTCAAAAGATTGTGAAAACCTTTCGATTTATTTGACTTTCAGTTTGTTTTCTTTTGCCGTTTTGTAAACTATTTCAATGATTCAAAAAGTTTTTCTTTTACTTCATTTCATTAGGGTTTTCGTAAAATCAATTTAATAATACTGTCCTTTTTGGTCAAAATTTTAAACCAATTTCGATAGAATTAAGTTGAATATGAAAATAAATTTATTAAGCAATTCTCAAAAACAATCTAAAGTTTTATTTTATTTCTGTTGTCATATTTCTACAATAAATTATAAATGTGACCTGAACATATAAATCAAACTTATACAAAAAATAAATAGTTAATTGTAAAATTAGTTGGTTTTAGAATAAATTTATGAACAGGTTCGTTTTATATGTTGAGGCTACAAAGAGATATTTTCAAAAACATTTTAACGTATAGTTCAATAAATTTTGCTCAATTTATTCATGTATTTCCGCAAACATAAAGTGCAAACAGATTATTATTATAATATTATTATATAATTATGGACAATTTTAATTAAATATTTATAATATAATAATTAATAACTTATTCACGATTTATAATCTTAGCTCTACAATAATACTGTTTTATAAGCAATATTTAATCAAAACTTTTATAATTAAATTTAAAATTACCTATAATTACAATTATATTTCAATCGACTAAAATAATACATTAATTTCATTGCACTTTAATTTCAAATCCAATTGCTTTTGACTTAAAAATTGTCTTTGGATTCAAAACACTATTCTTTGGTTTTATAATGACTTTATAATTAAATATTTGGATTTGAAATTAATTTCCATGGTTTAATTTAATAAAAAACAAATAACAATAGCATTTAGTATTAATTTACAATATTTCCAAACGCGTTTATTAATTGAGACTTGAATATTTATTTTAATTAAGCATTCAATCAAAATAGATATAATATAAATTCAAAACATTACTATAAACTAATAAGTAAGAGATTATATATACAATTATAAATAATTTAATTTTATAATATAAAATATATCCATAATTTGTTTTCCAAAAACAAAATTAAATTAATAACTCTTTAGTTGCAATGAATTGATGATAAATATTAAAATTCATTCAAAATGTAAATCTACTTTTCAAACGATACACACATTTCACGACTAAATTAAAACTGTTAAACATTAGAAGACCAATAAATTCATTAAAATCTCAAATTCCTAATCAAATGAATCGATCATAAGTTAATGGAAAGTCAAATTAGATTTCATACAATATAATAAGTAATATCTAATAATTACAGCGAATTATGTCTGAATTGGCGACTAATGGTTGCTGTGAACCGATGACAGGGCTGTTGACCACCGGCGAGGATATGGCGGCCTGAATGACCGACAAATGGTTGGGCGACCGGATCTCCGAGTGCTGGGTCTCCTTATGCCGTCTGAGATCGACTTTGCGCTGAAAGGCTCGGCCGCACACATCACAAGCGAACGGCTTAAACCCCGTATGCTTTCGGGAGTGGGTTATCAGGTTAGACGACTGACTGAACGCTTTGCCACAAACTGAACATTTGTGAGGCTTTTCACCTGTTATTGGGTCAACAAATATATATGATTAGGACATCTCACTCAATATATCTACAAAATCATCATTAAATTGTTATTATTGTATCATAAATCTTATATAATATTTGCTTCAAATCATAATTCTGTTTGATTATAAGTAATATGCATCTATTGTAATGATTTAAAGCAGTATACCATTGGATTTAAAAGGCCAGATTTACATTAAAATATTTTGTTTAATGAAATATGTACTCATATTTTTAAACAAGTAAATTATTCATGGAAATGGTTTTTGATTCAATAACAAATAATGAAAATTCATTAGTAAATCAAATCTTTTATCATTTAAATTTGAATAAAGTTACTTTACATTGTATAATAGTATAACTTATTTAAAGTATTGTGAAATAGTGAACAATAATCGTAAAAGTAAGCTAACATTTGGATACATTTCTATCTGTATTCCTCTCATAAAAGTTTGAATCAAAAAATTCTTTTAATATTCTGAACAACAAAAGTAAAAATTCTATTATACCGGAGATTCACATAAAAGGAGATTAAATAAAATAAAAGTTTTGATTATATAAATGAGTTTTCATAATAATAGACATAACGATAGAGACACACAGATATTGAAATACATAAAATATATTTATACATAAAAAAAAGTTGCAAACATTGATAGAAAAAAATCTTCAAATCTCTAGAGTAGAGCAAAAAGATTGGTCTCATATGATGTGATCGCATGAATATAGTTAGTGTTTGGATGCTATGAACATAAGTAGTGATCATTAGGGCTGGTAGTGGAGTGAATGCCGGAGTGGCCGTACAGTTGGCTCACTAAACATTATGAGCCCCGACTCTAAACATAAGTACCGGCTATATATACGAGTTAATAATATTATATTAAGCTCTGGTTGTCGAACATAGGACTCGCAAAACGCCTGTTCCCTATCATTCCCTATCATTCATATGTTAGTTGTTGTGCCGGAGAAGACAAATGGCTCACAAAATTGGATCCAACACTGACTATGGATTTTTATGCCCCTCTTAAACAACACCATTCCGGTGCTCATTGAAAGGGACGGCACTATAATAATTATTTAGCTTTCGGTTTGATGTTTAAGTTATTTTCGTATTACATATATCGATGGTTTTACCGAAAATATATGGTTTACTATTTTTGGGACAAATCTGTTAATATAGAGCTGAGAAACAATGCATAGAATGGCATTACAAGCCTTAATGACTGGAAATCATTGATTATATGATTGCCATAAAATTCTTGCACTGATATAAAAGGCGTAAAGTTTTCATGAAGTAAAATAAGATTTTATATGATTTTTTGTTTTAATCAAGAATTCAAATAATGGGACAAATATTTGTTAGCGACTCTAAGATTTATATATTACAAAAATAATTTAACAACATTTGTATTAATAAACATAAACTAATTTTAATTAACTTACGAAAAGAGATTACATTTTAAGATTTATTTTTGTTTGGCAATTGCCGTAAAGGTATAAAAACCTAATAAGAAATCTCTATTTGTTTGCCTTTTTGCGGCACTAATTTAATTAAGTGTTGATTTGGTTGTCCTATACGACACAATACAATAACAAATTTTTTCAGGATTTTAGTCAATTTTGGTTTTTGTTATTGGAAAGCCTTTTACAACGGTATGGCAAACAAAATAAAACAATTTCACCGCTTTTTTCTAATCGCAAACTTTTCTGTCAATACAATCACAGATTGAAAGCAAAATAGATTGTAATCACTGTGTTATTCAGTGTATTATAATATGCATTGAAACAATTGTTTGCATGAAATACTACATTGATTTACATAGAGATTGGAATAAAATCTAATTAAAACTTTGATTATTAAGTTATCGGCGATAGACAGCGAAAGTATACAAATATTTTGATCAAACATTTTTGATTAGATTTTAGTAGATTCTGGGAATTTACATAGATTGCAAAATGTTTGTCGAAATTAATTCAAAATTTTTGTTAAATACAGTATATCAAATAAAATACATTAATTACCTTATAAAACTTTCATACCTCTTACATTTAATTTAATAAATACAAAATATGGTAGACTATAGGAATAATAATTGTGTAACACATCGATTGGAATTCAAATCACAATTCCCTTCAGGTTTACACAGAATTGATGTATAAATTCATTGTTTCTTTTCTTATGTCTTATTTATAATCCAATCAACCTATAGGTGCCGTATATATGGTTGGGTTTGTACTGAGAATTCTGTGTTCAACAGCCATTGTTTGGGGGCTCAGAATACAAGCTCTCAAAGTGGATGTCATCTCATATTTATAGATAAAACCAATTGTGGCGCTCGAGAGAGAGAGAGAGAGAGAGAGAGAGAGAGAGAGAGAGAGAAGTGTTGATTAAAACGATCGGAACCTAACTGAGAGACAAAGAGAGAGCAAATGATAACAAATCATTGATTTGCTGTAATCCTGTTTGCCTTCAGACCATAGCATCCCAATCATCGCAATCATTAACACCAACACTACAGTCGAGCATCTCTTTTGTCAACATTTACTACAAATTTGATTTCAAATCTTAACCATCCTTTTGTGTCTTAAGCTAATCTCTGTAACAATTATGAAAGATAATAATGATTTATTATGAAATTTCTAAATTTACAAATTAACAGGGAAATGTTTTGAAATCAATGTTTAGTTCAGTATTGATAACTACAATGATTTGACTGTCGGTGCGAATCAGAAAACCGCATCAAAAGTACTGATCGGCGAAAGACGAGTGGAGTTTGAGATCTATTTCCTCTTATTACACAACAGAGTGGATGTGTTGTACTGTCTCTCGACATACAGTCTCTCTCGACATACAGTCTCTCTCCTAATCTCTGGTAATGTTTTGCCACAAAACCTGTCTCTCAAACGCGGCTCTCGAGCGAAACGTTGAGTAGTTTTTCGGTGAGTTTTAGCGCCGATTGGCGACGAAACCCACTCAAGGATTGGATATCAGACCACATATTGTGCGCTCAGAAACACTAATCCTCTTGTATTAAACTGATTGTTATTGTAAAGGAAAGGCTAATTTAATCAATTTTTTCCTATGCCTCTCATGTGTTGTACACAACACTACCTCTTATGGTAAGGGTTTTGTGGCAACAAATCTTTGCGCATCTGTGCTCCCTCTCTCTCCCTCTCTCTCTCTCTCTCTCTCTCTCTCTCGCCTATCATCTCATCCGACACTATAATAATTGTCGAGTTTTTAATTTTATAAATAATTGTCTTTTGATATCAAACTAAACTAACGTGAGAATTGTGATTGACTTCAATTGACTCAATCATAAGTTATTTACCGTTATATTAAGGATATAAAGACAATGCATTAAATTTAATGATTGCTTTAAATAAAAGTCTGACAAATTGATGGGAAAATTGTTTAATTTAATAAATTTATGGAAATTCTAATGCTTAACATTGAGTTATCTAATCGTTATTTAACAAGATGCACTTAAAATCTGTTTTTATTATTGGCGTAAAATAGAGATATAGTTTTGTCAGACATTATTGTTTCACAAATATTAATATTACACATTCCCTATACATATTTAAATAAAGGCTAAGTGGAAGTGGATATAAGTGACTACAAATTAAATTTTTGCTGCGATCGAGCAATTTTTTTATGCCATTGGTATACTGTATAATCGCATTAAAATTCAATAGATGAGAGAGAGAGAGAGAGCGAGAGAGAGAGAGTGAGAGAGAGAGAGAGAGACCTAGTGATGGATTGTGGGACAAATGGTGAAATACTGTGTCATTGAGATAGTCATAAGTACTGTATGCATGTCATAAGACAATCAATGTTTGCATTAGTTTTATTAACTTACAAAAAATAATGATTGAAAGCATTTCCTGAAAATAATTTAAATTGTGGTATTCTTGTGATTGACTAACAAATTGAAATGTTTGCACAAAAACCCCAACAAATTTTGTACAATATTTGCCACAAACTCTCAACACAGGAATCATTCATGAATACCAATTGTCTTAATAAGTATTCGTCAAAATTATTGACAGGAATTAAAATTAATTGATATATTAAATTTAGTTTTAATATGTTGTTTCCGTTAATTTGTTAAAACATCTGCTAAAATGAGTTTTAAAAATACAATTGTATTTCATATAAAATTGAGAATATTAGGAGCTTTAATTCAATTAATGTTTTGATAGAAATATTGTTTCAAACTGTTAGGATTTGTAAGTTGTGTAGGTTTCGTATATTTAGATTTTTGTATCTTTTAGAAACAAAATTCAAACATGCCAAATAAATTTTTGCCAATTTATTTAAATAATAGTGAAATTATACCAAACTCTAAATAGTCAGAAACAAAATTGTAAAACATTTTCTACATTTCCATTTAGTTAATACAAAATACTCTTGAATAGCAAAGTTATTTTATCAAAAAATGAAATAAATTATCTATATATTAGACCTTTTATTTTATTTCTACATTATAATCACACTATCAAACTGCCCTTTGACTAGAATATTGTTTTAAATCTAATTTCTAATTATATTAAATGGTAGAATAAATGAATGTCTTTATGGATTAATATATAAAATTAGAAATTAAATGATTTTTAACTAACAAAATATGCAAATCACTTGCAAACCGATTATTGTGTGAAATAATGGTTTTGAATAGAAATCGTTTGCTAATGATTTCAGATTACAGTGGACTGGTAGTAGGTGTTGAGCTAACGACTATTTTGACATCAAATTTATGCAATTGTTATTAAAATACGAATAAAAACAGCAAAACATATCTGTTTGGGCTAACATTATTGGTACAAAACATTCATTACTGGATTATCATCAGTACTCGAGTAAAACAAAAATTGAGACCAAATATCGCCCATAATTATAGCCATAAAACAATTACTATCACAATATAAGTGTAAATTGAAATTCATTCATATAACCAATACAGTAGTAAGCTGTGAAAATAAAAGCTAATTATTTATTAAATTATAACTAATAATACTATACTATAGTAACCATGGTATACTACTATCTACTAGCAAACTACAGCTATAAAACAATGTCGCGAGCACCGGTACATACCTGTGTGAATATAAGTATGCTTTTTCATATCAGACTTCTGGTGAAATCGTTTGCCGCAGTATTGGCACGGGTAGGGTCTGGTGTCCGAGTGGATGAGTAGGTGTGTGGACAGAGTGGACGAGCGTTTGAATTGTTTGCCACACTGTTTGCATTCGAAGGTCTTCTCTGCCGTGTGGACAGTCCGGTGCTGCGATAGACTGACCTCATGTCCAAACGTCTTATTACACATTTCACAAGCAAAGGGCCGTTTGCCGGAATGGGAGCGCCGGGCGTGCACTTCCAGGCCATGGGGTGTACTAAACATTTTGTCACATTTGATACACGAAAAGACTAGTCCGTCGCCAAACTGTTGGCCAGCGGTGTTGGTGCCGAAGAAATTCGACTTATAATGGCTGAAGTGGTGGTGAGCGGCCAGTGGTGAGCCCTCTCCCATTGAATTGCCACCGAAAGTGGCCGAAAGGAATGACGGCATCGTTGCCGACCCCTCAGTCGGTGATAGTTTGCTGCCATTGAGGAATGGGTTACCACTGAAGCCATATAATGGTAGACCAAAGTATCGCGGAATGTCCTATAAGTTTGCAATTAAATCAGTATTTTCAATATTTCTATAATAAATTAAAAATCTAATGAATATATTCTGGTCTATAATTAGAAATTAGAAAAACCGATAGTAATGTTGTTTATGTGTAAATTTATTATTAATTAAACTGGGATTTTGTTTTGTTTTTGTGTTTTATTTTGTTATTAATTGCATTACAGATTTACTAAAGGCTAATGTAATTAAAGAGAGTATTGAGAAAGAATCGCAATAATTATACATTTTATCAGCACCTCTACTATATTGCCATTCAATGCAAATGCAATGCTTGTTATTGTCTATAACTATAGACCAATAATAATATTAATGTGAATATAAATGTGAATTCATTTGTGTATTCCGTGAGTGAGAGACACAGACTTCTCTCCAAGTATTCAATTCGCAGCGATTTCTGCCAACAAAAGCATATAATGAATGAAAATTATAAATTTCATTAAAACACAAAAAACAAAGTAATGAATAAAACAGCTTTAATTAATGCAGATAAAAATTAACATTTAATTCAATCAGTATATATCTGAGAGAGAAAATAGTGAGGAATTTATTGAATAAAAATCATTTGTCGATTTTCAGGCAACAAAAACGTCTAATTGAATGCTTTGATTATAATAATAATGAAGAGTTGATGGCATAGAGAGTTGAATGGATTGCAAAAGTCTCTAATTATGATCGTATGTTATCGCAAAACTATGTGTTGTATGGACTGTAATGCATGTATAGTATAGGTAGTCATACCTGAAATGGTCGGAAAAGTTTGTCTCCCATCGGATTTGATGGCAGATTTGGCTGCGATTCGCAGCTCTGATTGTGAGCTACCGGTGAACTCCCTTTATTAGTGGCACCGGTGCTGCTGTTGCCGTTGTTATTATTGTGATTATGATGACTATTAGTACTTTTATGATGACAATAACTGTTTGCCAGGAGCTGTGATATGCTGTGATCAGTCACTGATACTGGCTTTGATGGCCCTGATGATTTCTGGGCCGATAATAGCGATAATGGTTTGGGTGATTGAGTGGTCGATGAGGTCTCTGAGCTAATACTATACCGCTTTCTCTTGTTATTACCGTTAATGTTGTTATTATTATCGCAATCATCTCTCCTATTGTTGCCATCATTTGCTATCATATCATACTCTTTGCTGTTATTACTGTTGCTATTATTTTCCATTAAATCAATTTCGGGTGAATTTGAACGCGAAGATGAAGAATATTCTTCAGATATTTGTCGCAAATTGTTGTTTGATTTGCTATTTGTCTCATTCCTGAAGCTCTCGTTTGTGGTACACAACTGTTTGGTCACTAAATATGACAATAAAATATATTGTTATTAATAATAAAAATTATGAAATCTACAGTTTAGTATTGTACTAACTATTTGATTAAACAAATTATTGATTAGATAGTAAAATCCGTGACAAAATCGTAGTAAAAATAAAATATTAAAAGAAATCAATTTCAGTGTTGACTTTAAACCTAATCAGCAAATATTTGAGACTTTTCTGCCTGTTTTAATTTGAATTTCAATATCAAAAACTCATTTGAGATACAAATAAACAATAGATTATAAATTGAAATTAATGTTTATCTAACTATTGATTCAATAAAAATATTCTGCTTTTTAGCATTTGTTTTATGATATATGCTGAATATTCTACTAAAATATTATTTGAGATACAAATAAACAATAGATTATAAATTGAAATTAATGTTTATCTAACTATTGATTCAATAAAAATATTCTGTTTTTTAGCATTTGTTTTATGATATATTCTGAATATTCTACTAAAATATTATTTTATTATTCATATATTGGATTTGAATATACTTTTAAATATGTATAAAATTCAAATAAATGTAAATCATTTTTATTTCAATTCATAGTATTCATGTATAGAAATAAGTTTAAAGAATATTATTTATTCTTTGGATTTTGAGATTTAAATCTATTTTTGATGATCTCCAAAAGTCTATTATTGATAAATGTATATATTTTTATTAGATTTTTAGTATTATATCAAGTAATTGTTTTGATTGCAATAAAAATTTATATTAAATCTAAAAATAATGCCTAAAAATAATCCAAATTGTTTTTATAGAAAATGTTAATTCATTTATTGTGCTTAGGTTTGAGTGAATGGTTTGAATATAATTAACAAATATATTCGTATGGGCTATACCTACAAATATATGAGTTTTACATACAATACATAATAAATGTCGGACCAGAATATTCATTGAAATAATGCTAATAATAATAAAAATAATATTCATTGCACTGAAAACTATTATTATTTCTTTTTTTAATAATAATATCTATTTTGTAGAGACCTTTCATCTCATATCAGCGCCTTTGCATACAAAATGAAATTAATATTATTAATATTTAGACCCATTTCCACAATCATATTAAAGATACAATCATAATATGGAGTCAATTGCTTGTTTTGCCCATTTTGGCTATTTTAACAGACCTTTCGCCCCCTAAATGATAATTACTTTCAATACTATACTTATATACCGTGTGTTTGATGATCTCCACTCATATTAAGTGTAATTGAATTTTAATGCAATATAACTTATATCAGAGTATTTTGTCTCAATTTTTGAAATTAATTTTTATTTAACAATAAATTTATTCATTAGTTTGAATATAAAACTAATTAAAAACTTTTGTGATTCAAGACAAATGTCCTATAATTGAAAAAGGTACCCAGCTCTAAATGGTCATTTATCGGGTGAATACTTTATTTTTATACGACCTGTACTCAAATATGCATGCTAGTATCATATAAAGTTGATATGATAGTACAGTATAAAGTTGTCATAAAGTGTTTTGAAAATGAGTGAATTTTTTCTCTCGTATATGAATGCAGAATATGTTTGACTATTAAAGGTTGGCTCAAAAAATCAATACATTTGGAAAGAGAGATATGAATTCATAGCCACCGAAATGGGAGGAAACTGGAAATGACATTATCGGCGCCTTTACTTTCATCTCATATCAGCGCCTTTGCATACAAAATGAAATTAATATTATTAATATTTAGACCCATTTCCACAATCATATTAAAGATACAATCATAATATGGAGTCAATTGCTTGTTTTGCCCATTTTTGGCTATTTTAACAGACCTTTCGCCCCCTAAATGATAATTACTTTCAATACTATACTTATATTCCGTGTGTTTGATGATCTCCACTCATATTAAGTGTAATTGAATTTTAATGCAATATAACTTATATCAGAGTATTTTGTCTCAATTTTTGAAATTAATTTTTATTTAACAATAAATTTATTCATTATTTTGAATATAAAACTAATTAAAAACTTTTGTGATTCAAGACAAATGCCCTATAATTGAAAAAAGTGCCCTGCTCTAAATGGTCATTTATCGGGTGAATACTTTATTTTTATACGACCTGTACTCAAATATGCATGCTAGTATCATATAAAGTTGATATGATAGTATAAAGTTGTCATAAAGTGTTTTCAAAATGAGTGAATTTTTTCTCTCATATATGAATGCAGAATATGTTTGACTATTAAAGGTTGGCTCAAAAAATCAATACATTTGGAAAGAGAGATATGAATTCATAGCCACCGAAATGGGAGGAAACTGGAAATGACATTATCGGCGCCTTTTGCACCATTAATACCGAATATATCACAGAATATATGAGTATCTCGTTTCGCTCAACAGTAATATAAAAGTTTATACGAAATCGAGTTTTTGTGTGTTATTTGTCTGTGAATTCAAGGCTTGCATTCAGTGTGAAGTCAATTACAATAGAGTGAAGAAAATTTTTATTTATGTCAATATAAAAGGCAATACACACCAGCCTTTCCACACACTGTTAGCCTTTCTTTTGCGATAAATTATTGTTTAATATGACTATTGGGGGCAAACACTTGACGCTTACGTATATCATGTGTTTTATTAACTATCATTTTCTTTCAAATAGATTTCGTATTTTGCTTTTATCTGTCAATCATTTTCTTTTCAAACCTATTTATACTTTATTTTAATTGAGATTTTACTAAAAGAATTGACAAAAAACATTAAAATATTTTCCAAATAAGTAATAAATACTAATAACAAATTGGTATTTAAAGCATAAAATGATTTTCTCTAAATTCTCAGGAATTTTCATTTATTATTATTAGTAATAATTTTTAAAAGTATTGCTCTCTCTCTCTCTCTCTCTCTCTCTCTCCCTCTCTCCCACTCACTGACTCAGCACACATTTATCCCAGCAATCTATGGACCCGTTATATGAAGTAAAATTAATCACAAAAATAAATAAATCTTAAAAATAGTTTAGCGACTGAATTGGCACCACATATAGGATTTGATTGTTTTTTCTCGCCGTTGATATGATAGGAATTCTTTGATCGTTTCATTTGAGTGCCTATAAGTGTTGAGTGAAACTCGCTAATGGTTTTGAGAGAAATAAAATAAAACGCTTCTATTATTTGATTTTATTTTCATTTTTGGCCCTAAAATCATATAATCGAGAAGAAGATGAAGAAAAAACTAATAAAAGCGAGTAAAAGACAATCAGAATAAAGCAATTCCCGGAACCAAAACTGATTGCCATTCCGTTTAAAGCGCTTTATTGCACTTAAATTTAATATACCGTTCATTAAATTAGGAAATATTTTATAATTCAAATATTTTCTCATAATTTACCAAAAATAAGAAATACTAGAAATACTATATTTAATCAATTGCCATGAAATATATTGAAATTTAAATATGAACTCAAAAAACAATATTTTTATACATAATTAGTGACAACAGAGGTTTCGTAAACTTTTTTATTGGATCACTCAGCGCCGTAATTATGTTAAACACAAGTTGTGATACAGTGTATTAAACTTGTTGTTTTTATTTCAATTAATATTTTGAGAGAAATTCCTATTTTAATTATAAATTAAAACCAAAAGCAATGCCAATTTGAATGATTAAATGGAGACACCATTTGTATAATCAGTTCACTTCTAACCCCAAACTCCATATGAATATACTGTACGTTGAGTTGAAGCTCTAATTCATTTGAAATTTCTATTTTTGCAAAAAGGCATTTAATAAAAATTTATATTCTCGGACACTATGTCCGTGCAGTGAGCGCACAGATAGAGCACAGGGAGTGCACAGATATGTATGGAAAATTGAATATGATTTTGTAATATTAATAAAAACCTTATGCCTTATTCTCGTGAGACACCATTAGCTAATTAGTAGCGTATATACAAAGCCGGGCAAACATATGGCAAATATCTCATCCGATTTCTCTATCAGCTTAACATTTGTGTGGCTCTAAAGCATTAATATTTATATTTTGCTCCAAAAGCTTAATATTTAATAATTACACACGATTTCTATGCTCACTATTTCGTAATTGCATAACAATTTCTAATTGTTTTCTTAAACTTAAGGTATGTGCAATAAATCCATTCCTATACTAACTCTGAAATATATAATTAATAAATGTAAAACTTTATAATAAATGATAACACTGCTTGTATGAAATACAATCTCTATAGTCAATCTGAAAGTATAAAACTAAGAGTTAATTAATGAAATTGAGAGAATAATAAACTTATGATTAATTAGTTCCAAGGATTGCATTCACTGTATAATAAAGCAATGCATAAAACAAAGAATATTCTGTGAAAATAAGAGTTGCAATATAATTAGCAGAGAATTATTATTTATAGAAAAGCATTGCTTTTGATGGCTGAGCCCTATCTCTGCACTCTCTTTGCATTCATAAGGCTTTCACTTAACAAATGAATGCATTCATAGCTCATGAAAATAATAAGCAGAAACAGATACACTGTTCGCTATATTTAATGCAATATAACTAATCGTTGAAATAGCAATGATTATGATATAAAAATCCTATATATTTGACAGAAAACCGTAAAAAATGGTTATTTGCCTCCACTATAAGACTTTGTGTTAGACTATTAATATCTATCTTGCGGTGAATGAGAGACAGAAAATGTATATACAGTACACTGGAGTGGAGTACAGATCCCGGACTCAAAATATATGCCTCATTGCCATCATTTGTTCCAGTCTTGGATTTATATACTCTTCTCAACTGTATATATAGTATAACAACACAACAATTGGTGATACAGTTCACTGATTATCATCATTGACGACAAGTGCGTTCAGTGGTGTGGGTTTGGTAGCAGTGGTTGTCAGTGAGAGCACAGGGAGGGAAAGGCAGGGAAGAGTAGAGTGAAAGCGAGGCAACAAAACTCATTGTATTTCAATGGTTTTTCTTCGTATGGAAAGTACTTTACTTTTCTGTGTGTATATAATCTGCAGAAATCATAGATAAATTCACTCATAAAATATGCTTTTAATGAGCAAACGATTAGAGAGAGAGAGAGAGAGAGAGAGAGAGAGAGATAAAGGAAATCATTTGTCAGGATATGATAGCACTTAAAAGTAATTAAGCGTTTAATAAATTATTATAATATTCTATGTGATTATATCCTATACCATTGAATAGTAATGAGAGCACAGATATAGTGAATATATTTAAGCAAACATTTAGTAGTTTTAAAAATTTTGTTTAATGAAACGTTCAGTAATTGGTTGCATAAGTTTATGAGCATTTATGGCACTGAATATCATGTGATATAATAATCGTAATGTGTGTTTTGAGCATTAATTCCTTGTGATTACTCTATAGTACACGATAGCACTGTATATTACATTATAGAGAATGGGATTTTACTGATTATTTTCTCTTTTTTATGTTACATTTTAATTGTCAAAACTTTTCTGAACTAAACTGCAATTTATTGAATTGATATTTGGTTTATATTTTATATTACTACCAATGATTATGTGAATGTGGAATTTACTATACTAGATAAACTTATTAAACTTATTATTAGATTATTTTTAAAAGGATTAAAAATATTTATTCTTAAAATTTATTTATCATTACTATTCAATTGTATAGGATATAATCACATAGAATATTATAATAATTTATTAAACGCTTAATTACTTTTAAGTGCAATCATATCCTGACAAATGATTTCCTTTATTATGTATTTATTTGATAGACTGAAAATGATCGCAACATACGGCACATGTATTGTGTGTTGTATTGTATTTATGCGCTCCCTTTCCCTATCCCTATCATAGATTGTGAGGGTTGGGAGGGAGAGGAGCAGTGCATGTCATCATAATTATCACATTTGGCGGGCACTCGACTCATGTAGAACTCAATTTCCAGTCCAATATATACGGATCAGAGGAGTGAGGAGTTAGAGAGTCATCATATGAGGGGAGATGGAGAGAGAGAGAGAGAGAGAGAGAGAGAGACGGCAAACATAAGTGTAACTGAAAAAGACTGATAGAAAAGGACATACAATAGGGAGCAAAACGTCGAAACAATTTACTTGATTCTCTACAGTAACTAATCAGTTGTTGTATTAGAGTTTGTGACTCTTTTACATGTGCTCTCATTCCCAATAAAGTTCTCTCTCTCTCTCTCTCTCTCTCTCTCTCTCTCTCTCTATTTTGTCAATTTATGTTAAAAATTGTATCGAGAAATGATTGATGAAAATCTCAATACACATTTGCTTTGGTTAAAAGTAATACAATTATGTTATTTGATTTATATATCATTTCAAACCTATAATAACTCCTTTTCCCAGAATTGTCTGATAAATCAATTATAATATTTCATAATTTCTCCAAGATATTTGTTTAGATCAATATAAGTTATATAAATTATTTAATGTATAGAAACACAATACTTGTATTGACCTGATCTATAAAATCAAATTCAATACACAATAAGTTTCATATAATTAGATTGAATGCTTGGATTGTCTGTATAAATATTTTATAATTTAATGTTTTTTCGCTTTCATGGTATGCATAGGAATTGAAATTTTGTTTTCCTCTGACATACGGTGTACTCTGTGTTTCAAACATTTATTGTGCTTTTGTTTTGCAAAATAGATGCTGTAATTGAATTAGAAAAACAATACTATTATATTAGACAGTAAGAGAAGGACAGGGAGTTCAGGATATATGGTATATACAAGTTTGAGTAAAGCAGAGCAGATATCGCTTAAAGCAGATTACATTGAATTGTATGACAAAAGTGGAAATCTATTACGCGAATATTATTAGCCCTAACATACACTCTATGAACAACTTTTTGTATCTGTTAATGGTCTCCAAGCCATTGTATCCAAACAGTGAGTATTGTCTCTCATTTACTCACTTTTAGGTCTCTGTTATTCTCATTGCTTTCATAATTCACATGAATTATAGCCAAAAGGTATTGACATATGATTTGCCTCCACATTCTGGGTCTACAATCTCTCCCACAGTCTCCCTATTACTGCTACCATCCCTCCCATTCCCCTCAGTATCTCTCCTTATGTTTAACTCTCGCAATAAGATTTAAAAAGACAACACAATATATACGACAGTAATTCTGTTATTTTTAATCAAAACCCTGCCCTCAGCGCTGATAGGCATTCCTATCTATGCTTTCGCTAGACTTCCACTATATTTTCATTACAGAAAAACTCCATTTACTTTCAAACAATAAATTTTTATTTCGAAAATCGAAACATGTTTTCAGCAATATTTTTGACACAACAAAAAATGTCTATCAAATTGAATGTGCAACAAAAAAATAACTAAAGTTTTTTCTATTGAATTATTTCTTACTAGTTAGAGAAAAAATCTTAATATCTCTTAAGTTTATACGATAGGCGCTCATTGGGATAGTCGATATTAATCGAAACCTGTGCTTTTCAATCATATACTACTTGCTAAAGGTATCGATATCGACTATCTATACTTTCCGCAATGATGCCCTATCGTATAAACTTAAGAGATATAATTTTTCACAATAAATACTAAATTCAATTTCAAATCTAAAAACCTCGGTCAGCATATTTCTCGTATAGATTTTAATTTCATGAAATATGTGTCAAAATTCACTTACGATTCTTGAGATTGAGAGGTCCTGGGCCTCCATCATCGCATCGCTTTAGGTTAGTATTGATGAACGAGTTGTTAATTCTGTCCATAGTTTGTGTGCCACTGATAGGGGTCTGCGATGGCATGAGTGAGGCGTATGCGGCGGCCGCCGCTGTCCACGCGTTTATGGCCGACGGCGTGCCCTGTCGTAGGAACGGTAGCAGCGATAGGGCGCTACTCAGGTCCGGCCATTGCTTCGATGGAACGGTAGATAAAGCTGTGGCCGACTCGCTGGCCGCCGACGACCACACGGAGGCCAGCGTTGTGTTCAGCTGACCGTAGTATGAGTTGGCGCCTACAGCCAGGGTTGGCATCATATTTGTATCAATTTGTTTGGAATAATGTTTGTGTATATGAGGTATACCGGCTAAAAGTAGTGGTAAGTGTCCGTTATGTCTATTATTTCGGTCTAAACCCAGGGGTCGATCCCTATTCATCCCGATTGGAGATAAGGAAGAGGATGATGAGCTCATGTCGCCTATAGTTTGGGATAAAATACAAATATTTTGAAATTTAATTACAGTTTGCATGTAAACTATTAAATGCATTTATTAAATGGTTGTGCACTGGCATGGATTGACTATGAAAAAAATCTTTTATATTAAAAAATGAAATTAATTTAATCTCTAATACTAGTAAACAGTGAGATGAGCTGTCATTTTATACCTATTTTTATAAATTCATTCATTTGTAAATAATTGAAATGATTTTTGTCTAAACTTTGCATTTTATCCCTACATTAGAGATGCACTGAGAGAGTGGATGTACTGTACGGACAAAATAGCATAGACTATATGGCAGTCATATGAATGTCTATATAAAAAAGTGAATCAAATCCCGAGTGATTGGTATAACTTATTCAGTGCTCTTTCTCTCTCTTTTTGCTCCTATAGTCCTATAGTTATGTTTATAAGGCTTAACAGTGAGTAGAGCTGCTCTGCTCCTCATCACAGCCAGTGGTATGGGATCCGCCTTAACAACAACCACATCATCATTACTGAGAGATTGTGAAGAAAAATATTTTTTATCCGAACAGCGCTTTTCCACTCGTTTGCTGTGCACTAACGGCGCGTATAATGCATATGAGTATTGGTGTTATAGATATGAAACTGAATTTCGTATATAATATATTCAATCAAAATTCAAGTGTGATTTGATATTAAGGATAAAAAATACTAATTCTCTATTTTTCAGCACAAATCCCTCACTGATTGACTCATTACGGAGAATTAGTTTTCATTATTTATCTCGCAATTTATGGCAACATTTTTGACACAATTTCTGATTGCATATGAAAAACATAGATTTTCATATTTGTTGAACAAGTCTTGATTATTATTAGCATACGATTTATCGTTCAAATGAAATTCACGAAAAACTTTATATAACAAATAAGATATTACAGTAAATCGCATATTGTATTCATATACAGTATTTACTTATTATATACAATACAATAAAAATAGACTTTATAATAAAACTTAATACTAAATAAAAAGAAAATGTGATTAATTTAAATCTCGCCGTAAATTATTTGCTAATTCAAAGGCTACGCGACTGTTTTGTTTCGTATTACAAATACAGAGTACAGTATATCAGAGTTTGATTAAAAGTGTAGAAAAATACAGAATTAAGTCGAGAGTGAATGGAAAGGCGCATACAGTATAGCATATGGAGTACAGAGAGAGCACCGGGAGAGTTAGGCACAAAACTCAAGCAATTAGTGCGGCTTTTTTTGTACGATTTAGCCATACATACGATTACCTAATATAAGCATAATATAGAGATTGTTATGTTATGTATAAACCTTAGAGTACGTGCGAAATCAGGTTTTGCCGGCGGAGGCAAAAGTAAAGCTTCTTTTGCGGGCTTTTGGCGGCGGATTGTGTTTGCGGTTTGCGTTGCACTCACTCTCACTCACTCATAACAACCACTGTTTCATATGAGAAGGGATTAAATTTTGCGCTCAGCATCCGATCCCCTATTTATTCATATATATATAAGAAAATACTTACTGATAGAGAGAGAGAGAGAGAGAGAGAGAGAGAGAGAGAGAGAGAACTACCACTAAAAACATATATTATTCTCGTCTCTCCTATTGTAACGGAGAGATCAGTGCTCGCAGTATAATAGCAGCGAAATATGTGCGCGAAATAAATCTTTTATAAAACACTGTTTCTCTAAGTTTTTTTTATTGATGATGAGATCAAAGCACAGAATATACTGTTGTTTCCATAAAGATTAGGGAATATGTGTTTTTCGTAAGAGTATTGTGTTTTTATTTTCTTGTTTTTGTTAGTCTTTTATGAACTGAGAATTAATGACAATTTAAATGACAATCACATATATTGGTATTTATGGCACTGATTTATTGATTAGACTACTTGAATTCAATTAAAAATCATTTTTACACTCATGTCATATAATTATATATGTGACTGAATATCGTTTCTACAAAATGAAACAAAAATATAAATCAATTTTAATAATATATTTCAACGATTAATGCTATATTTTAGAGACACAATGAGGGGGAGAGAGTGTTACAAAATGTGTATATAATAACATACTAAATATTAAGTTAGTTGTTTGAATACAATTGAAAAACTATAACAAATGTTGTGTTCATAATTAGAATTAGATCTTATGATCTAAATTTCAATTGAATGAAACATTTTTTGAAAACGTGTCATATTTTACATTGAATACAAAATAACTGTGTTTTTTGCTCAATAAATATAATCATTAGATTTTAGCGAAGAAAATGTATTTATTTCTTTGATATAAACTTTTTATTTCATTTACACGTACTGTATATTTATGATTATTGTAATAAAATGCTTAATACTGGCCCTCATAAAGTACTTAAGCACAATTGTCATCAAGTGCTTGACTCTATTATATTCATGCAATTATTTAAGCCGCAAATTATTGATATTGTCTTATATTTACAGTTAAGTCAAACACTTATTGGTTAGCAATATTTATTAAGACTCACAGTATATCAAAATTGCTAAAATATACTGTTTGAATGTATCGTTATAACATTATTACAGCATTTTATTTCTCAACACATAATGTGTTTTCCAATTCATTGATGGCTTATTACTTACCAGTATTTCAAGATCTCATCTCAATTACCTCTAATGTTATGTTTATTTGCAATATTAGTCCAAAGAATGTATTTATTTTAGCGTTTCGTATCATATTATACAAAAGCCATTGAAATATTGATATATAATTTTATTACAAAGACATTGATATACTAATGAGTGGCAAATAAAAACAGATCTCAAAAACTGCGATCAAATATTTTTAATGTCGTTTAATATTTTTTCTTAGGATTCATCGAAATATTTTATTACTTATTTGACAAAACACGTTATGAATGCATTTATTTGTAAATACTGCCAATAATTGCATCTATAAAGATGTCTTAGATATCATATAGTTTAATACAAACTTTGACACAATGAGGGCTAATTTCTATTTTGAATATACCGTTCAATATATTGATACCGAGTATATAAAGTATATAATAAAAGCGATGCTATTATTAAATCTATTCTATACCCTAATAGCATGTAATATAACCGACAATAGAGACGACAAAACAATCGGTAAAAGATATAAAACTACGATATAATAGCAACTCATTTATCGGCGAGAATTGGCTTTTAGTGAGGGTTTAAAAGCGTCGCCTATTTATACGGCTAACTGTGTGGCAATCGTATGACTTGGAGTGACTTTTGCCCAATAATCTAATGAATCTCTTATATTATATTTAATAAATAATTGCAAATAATAAAATAGCAAAACGGCTGTACTGTCAACTCCCAGCGCTAATCCCGGTGCCTTTTGGCTGGTCTTATTTACAGTGTTTATTACGTATGCCTTTTGTGCAATGACTTAATGCCCATAATCTTTGGCAAACACAGACATACAGTAGTCATCTATGGCAGGGATAGGGAGCACGAGGGAAAGCTATTAAAGCGAATCCGCACTAATATTATACAAATAATATTTAATTAAACTCTTAAACGATTAACACAACAGTGAATATCAGTTTAATAACTAGTTTATAAATCCTTAAATTTCAATGACTAAATGTATAGAAAACTTTTCCCACTTTTTTATACCCCAATTGATATATAACTAAAACCTTGATTAAAAAGATACATATCTGGCATAACGTCTAATAAATAAAGTATTAAATTGTTAGACAAACACCCACTCCATGCAGTAGTTTGTAGTGTAGGTGAAGTCAAAGCGAAATGTTATTTAATACTGTTTAACATCTGATAAAATCAGTTAATCTTATTGACGCCTAATGTTATTATTCGGTGATTATGAGACAAACCAACAAAACTAATAATTTATTTTTTAATACACCATATACTCTGATATCACTTCATGTTTTGAGCCCCGGGATTATGAGTCACTCGAGAAAAAAGCAAATCATCAAATCATATGAAAAGGTGTAGAAACTTATGATATACACGGAGTACTTCTCGACTTAATTTTATTTAATCAATCAATCAATGGCTTCAAATAATTACACTACGAAGTGATTATCATTTATAATGCAAAACACAATGAGAGTGCAATGCATTGAGAATACGTTTCTTTGCACTTAAATTTTCATTTAATATAATTACTATTATTAGTTGTAATTATTGATTTGATAGCGAGTGAGAGGGAAAAGTGATTTTGTAAATGAGTGCTAAGAAAGTGATAATCGATTGGACTATTAAATGGAAAAAACAGCCGTAAAAACACATATGAATTGAAATGATTTGTTACAAAATAGCAGAAAAATAACATTCAAAGAGAAATCAATGAAATGCACTCAATATTTACCTCCGATTTCGTTGCGATTGGTTTTAGGCGTAACGACTCTGAAAGCGCTTCCCATCCCTTCGGCACTCGGTTTCGATGAGGAAGTGGTCGACGATGTGGTCGATGAGGAAGATTCCGGTGATAGGAGTAGTGGTGATGATTGCGATGCGTTCAGCAGTAGTAAGTGGTTCTCAAAGGACGACAACTTATTTAGTAAAAACTGTTTGTAATCGAGTGATGAAGACATTCAAGTGATCAGTAGTTATTAAAAATGAAAAACTTTTTAAATTTAACTCAAAACACAGAATAAATGGAAAACTGTTTGCAAAACAAATTGATTGCAAAGATTTCGGTGACAAAGTTGGAGAAGAAGTTGTGTCTCAGTCTTGAGAAGCGATGTCTCGTATGAAGTGTTGGAGAGTTTGTGTCCTGGGTTTTGAGTGTCGGTGCGATGCTCAAGTGGAAAGCCTACGGTTTGTTGTAATCAATTGCGCGCATTCACTATCAGGTGTAGAAGCGTTGACGTGAGTGGAGAGTACAGTGCAATCATTTTTGCATAATAGATGATATGACTGCCATTCGGCTCCGAGAATCTCAACACTGCTTTCCACTGCACAGTACTAGGGGAACGACACACCAGTGCACCAAAACATATAAAGTGCCGTATATTTTGCAAATCTCTCTCTTGTTTTTCGTTGAGAGCAATACTTTTTTGCGATTCTCCGCAAAGACTTGCAAAAAGTCTGCAAAACTTATATAAACCAACAGTTAATTGAATTAAATCGCAAACAAATTCGTTTGATGCGATCGTTTGTATTCAAAAACAGTTGCAAAATGAGTAGAGAGAGAGAGAGAGAGAGAGAGAGAGAGAGAGAAGTAGCAAAAGAAATCTTCCCAATTATTGTCTCTACTTTTATTGAGTTTTCTCTCTTATATTCGGTTATCTCATCTTATTTTTACTGTGTTTTTGAGTCAATAAAAACTTTGCTTAGAATTACGTAATTGAGATGAAAAACAGTGAGTTTTAAGCTTTCATTTATTTATGATTACTGCAGCAATGCAATACAAATTGTACTTTTACAATAATTTTCGTTTTCTAAACTTTTAAATGAAATTTATTTTATATCACTTTCTATATCTAATTTATATTTAAATATTTAATCGATTAAAAAATATATTATAAATAAATAATTAATTACTTTCTAAACCTTTATATAGTATAGTTATTATATATTACGAATAAAATCATATATTTAATGATAATTATGTAAAATTTAAAATGATTTGCTCAAATATTAATAGGATTTGAGTGGACAATCAAAATACAAGTCACTATAGTTTCGCACCACTTGTTAACTGCAGAGATAGAGATAGACTGCGGAAAAGAGTACTGTTTTTCTCGTCAAAAAGTTGTGCAAAATTGATGATTACTCGGGCAAAGT